CTTTTTAGATGTATGTATGTTAATTTTGAAATATATAGGCCCCTGTAATTTTTTAAAATTCTACTGCCACACACTCTTTTATTTTTATGCTCACCCAAATTTTGCAAAAGTACATTAAACACCATTTCCATTGCAATAACCCCTCTTCAAGTTACTCTAAAACTATTTCAACTTCAACAAGTTTCTAGAGAGAAACAGTGATATCGTGAGTGTGGGATGATACCTGATATCACTCTCCTGGTCTAGCTACTCAACTGAAACAAATCATAAGAATTGATGACGATACTTAAAGGTAATACAAAGTTTTAGTATGGGGTCATGAATTTGGTTCAAATGAACATATTGGAAGCATATATAGTTCCTACAATATTCAGTGATCGTTGTCGCGGTTGAAATCGAATCTAAAGTGATGAAATTGTAAATAGTAAACTCTTTATGTTGTATAGCTCCCTCTCAAGGTCAAGATATTGATTTAGCTATAAAATAATGTTATTTGACTAAAAATCAACCAATTTGTTATACCATTTGGAATATATATATCACAACTGCATATTCTGAGATTTTCATGGTCGCAGCTACCATCGTATGGCCGTAGGCGCTATTTGAAATTTATCAAAATTTACCGGGAGCACCGGTAAATTTGTATATTCAATTTTTCTCAAAAGCAGAAGTGTTTTAGGGGCCAATTTTTTTAGTGCTTATAATACATCCATAGGGGCATCCAAATATATCAACATTGTAAAGAATCACTATCTAGCCAATTTTCAAAAATTACCAAAACTTTGTAATACTTATGTCCTACCATGAAATATCAAATATCACTTCATACATGCACCTTACTCTCTTAAAAAAAAAAGAGTGAATTTTCACTCTATTTTCACTTTCTTGGGAGTGACGTCCGTGATCACTTGTGTAGGAGTGAAAATCAATTGATTTTAGAGTGCTCTCTAAGAAGAAAAGAGTGAATGTTCACTCTATTTTCACTACATTTTCACTACATTTTCACTCTCCAGAGGAGTGACGTCCGTGATCACTCGATTTTTTTTAGAGAGTACAGTTGAACTGTCTGAGTTACGATGATCGCATGTCAAATTTTGTCACTTGAGATTTATGTCTCATAATTTGCTGGTATCATGCATGTCCCTTGTATGTCAATTGCTGGTATGTTATATCTGCCTTTGTAATATCCACATCAACATAAACCTAACTTTTTATTAAATAATATATATGACCTCTTTTTTAAGTTAATTCATATATATACATAACATATTGCATAGTAAAAGTAATATTTTTTCAGTGCAATTTTTCTGCTACCTTGAAGCTCTTCAGGCACTAACTGCTCTTGTATATTATCCTTTTCTCCCCCCCCCCCCCCCCAACTAGCTATGCTCTGAAAATAGAACAGATAGATATTTCTATGGAAAATATCTAAAGAATATGGAGCAAAAATTCTTATATGCCAAATATATCTTGGCTTTGCATAAGTGTTCGTATGCTGAATTAGCAAGACAAAATTATGAATTAAGGTCCTTGAAGTTCATTATGTATTCATAAAAGAAAGAGTGTTAAATGAGATGAATATTGCATGCTCTGCCGGGTTTGACAATTATGTACAAGTTCTTTTCAATAAATGTATCTGACCTTCAACAAGAGAATGCACTTCAACACTGTTGATACTGTAGATCTATATATGGTAAACATATCATAGAGTGCGTTCAAGTCATTTTTTTAAAACTAGAATCACAAACATGAATCACAAATCAAAATGCCGTTAAAAACATGGTTACTGCGGGAGAGCATAAACGCAATTTTTCATCAACGCTGATTCTCACTCGAAAGCAGGCCACGATATTGACCTTATAGAATCATGACTGAGATCTCCTTTCATTCAAGTGATTTTTAGCGACTGCGATTCTGCAGAATCACGATACAAAACGCATCTTTTTCAGCGTTTCATGTTTGCGTTTTTAAACACGTTTATTTTTATGACAGACGAAAAGTCGCTTGAAATTGCTTGAATGCAACCATGTTTTAAACTAAACGTCTTTGAAAACCGTGTTTCTAGGGTGGAAAAGTGTCGCTTGAACGCACCCATAGAACTACAGTTCAGCCAATGTAGATTTGAAAAAACAAAGAAAGACCGTTATAAGAATGGAAACAATACCTGGCTGCCAAGGTTCTTTTGCCCAACTGTCCTGGAATATTGATTAAATTAGGATGCTCAAGCTTTTATTGAACATGTTTTAAATGCAGACCTGCATGGGGGTTAAAGTTCTTTCATCTTGAGGGCATAGAATGGGCATTTTCAACCAGGCCCCTTGTACTCATGATTGGCGAGGGAGGAAAAAGGAGGGGAAAAAAAAAAGAAGGGACAAATCTGGTAATGTGAGTTCAAATCAGGGAATATTATTATCCCCAAATATATTCCTATCAGAAACTAGAGAATTTGCTTCACAGAATATTTGCCGCAAGGTCGGATTAATTTACCAGGGGCATTCATGAATACAAACTGCAATCATAGCTACAGGTATGCTTCATGCTGCACTTCTGTAGAAAGTGCAACTCAATTGCGAAATGTTTTGGGAAGTCCCAGATTTTTTTTGTTGGGTCACACAGGTGCGAAAGCAATTAACAAAACAAAAAACAAGAAATGGTGTTTCTTTCAAACTTTTAGAGTGTTTCAATCTTTCAATAGCATTTCTTTCAATTTAAAATGGTATCCATGCGAAATAAAAAAAAAGGTAGCAATAAGCTCCATGTACATTTTCCACATGAAAGAGAGTGTGAAGCCTTTTGTGGTCGTGAAACAGGCTAAAATGAGCAGCTGCATGAACATTCAATGTAAGAGACTGCATGCTGCCCGACTATAACTGCCAAGTGTGCTTGAGCTCACGCTGTGACAGGGCCTCTATATTGCACCACTAAACATGTTCCACGCAATGTTCACATGATAGTCGAGAGCTTTTTCAAATGTCAAGTGATCAAGACTGCGGCACACATTCATGTTAGGCTAGATATATAACATTGTCTGCTGCCCAGCAAGGAGCACTAAGATCACATTCCATGATCTATTTCTTTCTAGCAGGTGTTCTATAAGGTGTGTCATTGGACTCCAGTACATCACACCTTGCAACAATGGGAGCATGGTATTTTGTTTATCCCCTTTGAGAAAATAATAGAATGTTTGTCTCTACTCACATTTTTAGTGAAAAAAAACATACATTTTTTTGTCTTGTACAAATTCAATGACATTGACCTTACCTAAGAGATAAAAATGTCTCCTCTTAATTTGAAGAATTTTACACTTTCTTCTTATTTTAGCACATGATTATAAAACTACCCTTTGGCTGTGTTCAACTTGAAATTTGAAAGGCATATCCCGGTATCAGGAATTTCGATATTATAGTACGACTTCAGATTTGTAACCATGAAATGGGGAAATCCCATTAAAATAAATTGTTGCTGTCTGATCAAAACAAGAAGCTCATACTCACAGGCTTATGGATGATATATTAAAATCAGGCATGCAGCAAAAAATGATATAAAATACTGGTATTACAATATTCAAACATCTGTGGCCAGTCCTTGTCATCACACTAAAAACTTAACTAAAAAGCATATTAACAATAATATTCCATTATGAAAACTACCATGTATTGTATACACTGTACATGGGATGCATTTCAACACAATAAATGGGCTGGAATACAGATGTCAAATTCATTGGATAGAACGGTGATGGCAGCTGCTCTCACACTTAGTTATTGGTCGTCCAATACATCAACCAATTTACACAAGAGTCATGATAGACACAAGTGATTACATTCACATGCAAATCATTAGCAAACACAATGCATTTGCATATGTGTAATTTGTTATGAATGGGAGTCAAATTGAACAGTAGGAGAGCCTAAGGCAATGTTTTAATTGCTTTTTGAGCGCAGTCATCCTTCTAAGGGATTAATGTTGAACAGCTAAGATAGTACAGAAAACTAGAAACGCTTTTCAACGTCAAGTCATTTATGATTAATTATTGACATTAAATATAATTACTCGAGCTTTGACATTGAAACGGGTGATTGAATGGAATACTTCTTAAATGCCTAATTGCCCATGGAAACTGAGAGAGAAGCGATGAAAGTGCAAAATTGTAACTGAATTCAAAGGCCAAGACATTGAAAATGCTTTGATTGCTTTACTTGTCATTACATGTTATACAGTGTGAGTCAAAAAAAAGTTTACACCTAGAAAATTGCTAATTATTTAAAAAATCATCGATGGACATTAAACTTTTATATGTCTTATGAAAGAGTGTTTTATCCCAAATCATTTAGTACCATTTTTGTGTGGTATGTGTTCACGCATGGATGAACAGGAGACATTGTTTTCGAGAGTGCAAAAATCGAATTGCGCCAAAGTTGCCTATGTGATGTTTGAATAAAACAATTAGGATTTGGGTATTAATTCGGTCTTTGCAGATCCAAATAACACCCCTAACAAAATTAATCATGCCACACATATCAAATATCAACGAACATTTTTGCGCGTGTGGGTGGGTGTGTGTGACTTTGCTTTTGGCAAAAAACATGTGCAATGCATTTCATTTGATAAGTTCAATCCATTCTCTCACTCCGCTAATCCCAACATAATACATACTGAAGGCATCACTTTGGTGCAAGTAAATGTATGATAATTTACTGTTCATAGATGATTTTAAAAATAATTAGCAATTTTCTAGGTGTAAACTTTTTTTTGACTCACACTGTAGAAAGGCATCTGTTGGTGCACAACATGTATATTAAAATGTTTCTATACTATAAGCAGTAATTAAATATTCCATGTTCAATTTCTACAGTATCAAGGTTATATTAAACATAAGGTTGCTCCCATTATGATACCCATAATGAAATCAATCAATTTAGCCTTGAAAACGACCTTAACCATCAAAACAATATCTGCATAAATATCATCAATGTGATTATAATGTATATGTGTCTTACCTGCGGAATTCCCCACAAGGATATTCCTATCCTCACACGCACACACTGAAATCAGTCTGTTCAGATTATTAGTAATAATTTCCACAGCATTTAGAAGTACAAGAAATAGAACAGATCTAGCGGAGTTTGGAAGTGTTTAAACGAGCACTCCCAAATGCTCATTGAATCGAAAAAGACTTGAATAGGTTGCACCAACCTGACTGGCCAAGCATGTTTGATCAAACCCAAACCCAACGTCTACTGGGTATGTACATGCTGAGTAAACATCTGGGAGTCTCTAGACTCATGCACCAGCCACTCGGAAGGCTTGTAAATATTTGCTCGGCAGTGATCATGTAGTTGCAGTGGAATTTCCGGAACCATGTACATGTAAAATGTTCAAACTGTTATATTTGTATCACTTCAAAGACCTGACATGATTCACAATTACAGCTGATTCAAACTGGAAATAACTACCCATATTTGTCTTTGACTGTGGAACAAACCAAAACAATATAAATTGACCCAAAATGCAAGGATCAAGTTAGCTAATGTTTCTTTCTTCTTCTTGTTGTATTATCTGCACATTTCTATGTTATTTTTGTTTTTCAAGTCAGATTTAAATGAGTTCCCAATAAATTCTCCAAATTTATTTTTTAAGGGGGGGGGGGGGGGGTGGCGAAGCAGGTTCTTGGGGACAAGTGCACAAACAATGTTTTATAAATCAGGTCAAACCAGCTGTTTTCAAAGACTAAGCTTCCCTGCAGGATTTCATTAGCCTAAATCGGTGACTCATACCCAAGCTCAAAATTTGCTTTAAAATAAGAGATTTGTTTTCTCCTCCATGCACCTTTAGCTCCTTTGCAAACAATGTTTATTGGTTGATTAGTGGGTAGATTTGTTGACCACCTTGGTTTCTAACCAAGTTGTAACCCAAAACGTAGAATTTTCTTTATCTCTGTATGTTTCTGTCTTGATGTGCTTGTACAATAAGGATGCTTGGAGAAAGAAAAAAAAAAGGAGCTTAGAGCAAATTGAACCACTTTGACTCCAATTACCATGCAAGGATTTCAAACCGATTTGAGAATTTTCGTTGTGAAAAAGCAAACAATCTGATACATTCATGATCGAAGGAATGCTTGAAAGAATAATTCTGAAAAAGAAAAAAAAAAATTCACATTTGAAAAACAATATTACAAAAGTCTTACAAGCTGATGTTTGAGTGATTAGATCATAGAGCTGGTCTCGTTTTACAATTTGATTTGATAAGGTTTAAAATATTCATAAAGAATTCCTTTCTCTCAATACATGGGACATGAGTCATGCATTTTACGAATAAGATATAAACCCTAAAAATATGCACTTTCTTAAAATCTTTTAAGATAATGTTAACATTCACCTGTGTATCATCTTGTGAAACTAAAACAAATATTTCAATTCTACAACTAGACACACAAAATGTTGATCTTCTCATCTTCTGACCAACAAATGTTCAAAAGTTATAGGTCAATTATACTGTCACCTGGCAACCAAATGCTTCAACTAAAAAAATATGTAAACAAGATGTATGCTCTTAAACTTTGCCTATCTTACCCATACTGGGTTATGTCTAACTTCAATTTGAAATAAAACCATATCAAATCATCATGATGATTCATAAAAGACAAGAGTTCATTCAGAGTTTATAAAATGATTTGAAAAAACATCATTATAAAATATCAGGAGAAGTGAATGCATGTAGGTAAATACACAAAAAGTTCTGATCACTCTTTTGGAACAAATTCAGTTGTGCTAAACACAATCAAAACACTAAGCAGGCATTGAAGCTTGTGTAATGCTGTCTTTCATTGTAGGGTATTCAGTCGCACCCAAACTTCCGCCCAAAAACTTCAAGTCTAAAAAAACCTTTAAGTCTAAAAAAACTCTGACCTGCTTGAAAATCAGTCATGAGAAGAATGAGAATTCAATAAGCTCCACCAATCCTCTGCATTACACTTCTTCCTCTTTTATTTGGGCACTTGGCCCCTGGGAATCCCAGATTTCAAGGAATTTTTCATTCTATTGATGGTATATAATTGTGCACAATCCTATCCATTTATCTAAAAGTGTTGTTGAAACCACCGTATTTGCACATTTATTTTTATGCACAGAGGAAATAATAAACGTACATTGTGGAATTAATGGACTCAATTACTACTGCACCAGACAAACTTATGTCTGGATATAAAGGTTTGCAGGAGAACTACCAGTACCCGATTCTCATAATTGGACAATACAGACTAATCGAACACGAGTGTTATAGTAAAAATGATCTTTTAGTACCTTTTCAAAAATGCTGCCCAATTTTGCTTCAATTTTACTTCAGTAAAATGGAGAGCAATCTGAGTGGCAAACTACAAAATACAATGCTATCTGGTATGTACTACATCTTGTTAAGCATCTTATCCAAGCTTTAAGTGATTATTTGACCCTTCTATTATATGGCACAAGAATTAGTCAGTGCACACAGAGCCTGTAAGCTGCTTGTAAATATACCCCAATCACCTTCTCTGAATATAACTGTTGGAGTGGTCAGTCAGATCTCAAAAGACAGTCTGATATCTGAGATAAGTGGGTCTTGCTAAGGCTTAATCCAGATTTGTCCTAATCGCAGTGTCTGGATTGACAGAATGGATGAACGGAGAAATAAAGGAAGAAATAGGAATGTGGGAACCATGGGAATTAGCCAGATCTAAAATCATTTGGCCTGTCTTCATCAGCCCGAGATTGCCAAATAGCCCGCTTTTTCTGATCCTGGATATCAGACCGATCATGAAATAGCGGCCTATTGCTATTTGGCAGGTGAAGGTGCAAATAGCGGGCTATTTGCTCGGGAAATCATCCCAAGATATCTTGGACTAGTTTGCAAAATATCCCGCTATTTGTCCAGTGCGTCTTCACCGGCCTGAAGGTTTGCACTATGCGCGAACGCTGATGCTATGGTCACATTACCCAAATTTAGTCTGCTTGGCGGCCGAGCGGCGAGTTTTTAACCAATTCTGCCCGGCGGCTGCCCGTCCACCGAGCGGCAGCCGCCCAGGCACCGCTCGTTTTTAGGGCATCGCTCGGTCGCCGCTGAAGTTTTAGCACGGAGTTAAAATTTGGGCGGCGCCTGCTCACTTTTCACTCGCCGCCCAAAATACGCTCGGTGCCTGGGCGGTCGCCGCCCGGGCACCGAACTAATCGCTGGGCGATGCCTAATTCCAGCAGCGACCAAGCAGGCTACTGATTTGTGACCATAGCTTGAGCAAAATATCTCGAGCTAATTTCTTGAGTTTGAGTTTCGAGCTGATGAAGACGCGATTGGTAACTTACAGTAGGGCTTATTTCCCAAATCAGAAATAGCGGGCTATTTGGCAATCTCGAGCTGATGAAGACATACCAATTGTGAGGTCAGATGGATAACTCAATTTAAAAAAATGATAATATATATTTTTTTAAATGGCAGCTATTTTTGATAATTTCTTTCTCCAAAAATACCAAATTGCATGTGGTGATTGAATTATTTTACAGCATGAATCTCAATTGTAGGCTTAAACAGAACAAGCAAGCCTAAATCATTTCATCCATTTTCATATACAGGTCAAAGTAGAGTACAGTCTGCTTGGATGTGCCTATTTGTTGTTGTTGAACTATGCACAAAGTGACGAAAGATGACCCCAACTTTATGAAATTGTTTCTTGAGTGGTTAAAGTGCATTTGGGCAATTCCAGGTAACGGAAGGACACTCAGACAAGATTTTTGAACTTCAGGTTCATACTAAAAGAACTGTTTTATTAGTATAAGATGTGAAACAGTACAGATATAATACCTATATAAGTGCCTTTAATTCTCCCAAAAAAAATTGTCATTATAGTTAAGTAGTTTAAGAATGTGCATATTAATTATCTCGGTAACGGAAGGACATAAAAATGGACATGGTTTTTCCAGTTAATTAGTGTTTATCCAAACTTTGTGAAGTTGATGAAGCTTTCCACTTGACTGAAACACATTTTGTTCCCCATAGTTCAATACATACTAATAAAACATTTCTTTTAGTATGAACCTGAAGTTCAAAAATCTTGTCTGAGTGTCCTTCCGTTACCGTGGAATTGCCCATTTCCAATTTTCATACAATGGTATAGGCCTACTAATAAACCTGCAAGAACATCTTCAAACTGAATTACAGGTTCACATAGAAATGGGTCCTGAAGCTTGGGACTGGCCTTTATTAGCTGCATGGAATGGCGGTCTAATAATAATTCTCATCTGGAAAATAAGGCCACTTCCAGCGTTATTGAGGTCTACAACTAGACTGGGTGTCATTATGATGGCAATAACTTATTTCACAATAAAGAGAGGCTTTGCAAAATTGCACAAGCTGCAAATTGGCTCTCCTCCTCATAAACAAAATATGAATCTTTCATTTTTAGAATGTTTTGCCCATAATAGGACATTCATGTAGACATAACTACCGCTGGAGTATTCTTTATAGTTGCCCACTGGCAGCTACACAATGATGGATTAGTCTACAAGGTAGGGGGGGGGGGACATCATTATAAAATGATGGCATGTCAAAACACATCTACAATGACCTCAACTAAGAAGTCAAAGAGCTGTGATGCAAAAAATCATGCATGCTGTTCTATTTAGTGCGTCGATTACATGTATGTAACACATGACGTAATTTTTGACGTTTTGATTTGTATATTTAAAAAAAAAAGTATCTATACAAAAGGTATTTGTGCATTACCGCAGACATAATCTTACAAGTACTACACTAAATCTGCTTTAAAAGCCTAAAGTGAGGTCATCTTAAAGTAAGTCCTTTGATTAAAATGTGAAAAACTAGCGAATGAATGGTGATTCCATGAAAGGCTATCAAGATCTTCTTTGAATTGGTCTTTTTAAGAAGTCTTTTTATTCTTAAAGAACCCCTGAGTTTTAGGATGTAAGCTAATAATACACAGTATGGTGAATTGGTAAACTTTCACTTGAATTATAGAATGATGTGGAAGAGGATGTCATTTATTAACACACACATCTGAAAGGATTTTTAAAAAAAATTACTGTGTTAGTTTTGTTTTGGAGGGAAATCGCTGTCATAAGAACTTTTGCCAAAAGTTAAATGAGTGAATACCATTGGTTTTCGATATATATGTCTCATGGTATTCCCACTCATCATTTAAACAAGTTGTAAATATATACTTAATAGTCAA